AGGACTTGGATGCCTGAGAATATTTTTATGATGCCCCCTTTTGAATAACAACTTGACTAAAAATAAATTCTTCCCCTGCTCCTCCCCCTCCTTCCTCTGTCCCTCCCCGTCATTTCCTCCCCATCCCAATGCTCCCCTTTCTCCCTAGGTGCTGTCCAGAGCCTGGTCTGGGGCAGTAGCTGCCTTGCTCCCAGCTGGGGGCCCAGTTCCTGCCCAGAGCAAGCCTCTAACCCCTCACCTCAGGAGACTGCAGCTGAGCCTATGAAAACAGCATCACTCCACCATCCTCTCTCAGCACACCCTTACCCCGTTCTACCATCTCATGCCCTCCTTGGCTCACTTCCCCTCCCCACACCCAGGCCCACCCCCATCTCTAGGAATTTGAGCCCTGGGATGCTCAGCCACAGGAGGGCAAGAGTACCCTGAGACTTTGGGCATAAACCTCTGCCCTGCCCACCTCCCAACCTCCTCTCCTGGTCTATCTGCAATGCCCTCACTTCCTATCCCAATCTTTGCCATACAAACTTCAAGACCCACCTGAGGCCCAGTCTCCTCCAGAAAGCCCCCTTGACGCTCCTGGGGCAGCTTGATCCCTGCTCTGACTGTCCTGCTTCATCAGCATATGACCAAGCCCTGCAGTGCTCTCTTGTAGGTATTTCACAAGCAGAGAAGGGGTTGGGAAGGCAACAGTTCTGCCCACATCTGATCACAAGGCTCGTCCCGCCTTCCCAGGGATCCTTCTGCAGAGGGAGACCACTCAACAGGTGGAGAGAACTTGCGGAGAACTGATGGACCTCAGTCCTGTTCAGAGAGCAGCTAAAGGAGCTGGAGGTCCCCAAGAAACCTTTCCCATTTTCCCTGTGGAGTGTGTGAATTCACGTACTGTATCTGTGTGTAAGAGAGGGAATGAATGTGTGAGTCTGTGTGTGCATGTGTCTGTGAGAGAATGCTTCTGTGTTTGTGAGTAGACAGGAGTGAGATTTGCACCCACAGCACACACCCCCACAAACCCTTCTCTGACCTCTGGGAAGGTGAGGCCAGCAAGGGTTGGGGCGCCACCTGGTGGTAATAGTCTGTACTACAAGCCACTGTCCCAGACTCCACCCTCCCACTAACACACCCAACACAGAGCTGATCCCAGAGCCTTCTCTGGAATCTCAACCCAACTGCTCACCACCTCTACCCACAACGACAGTCTGTCTGAGACTGTAGACAGAGACCCTGTCCTTTTGAGTCCCCTTCTATCCCAGAGATAGAGCCCTTGATGGGGATTCAGTCAGACCAGCTCGTATGCCAACACTGGCAGATTACTCAACCTCTCTGAACCTTGGGTTACTTAGCTACTGAATGAGAATAATAATCTCTGCTCCACGAATCATTATGAGGCTGCTTAAATAAAATGTAAAATGAAACCATTAAGTTGGGAGGGCAGGGCAGCTACAAGAAGTCAATGGGGGCAAAGCTGTGTTCTGTGACCTGGTGAGGGCTGCTGAAAGACTCTATGCAGAGGCAGTGCCCTCTTCCCATCCTTCCTCCCATTCCTCCTTCCATCTCTCCTCCCATCCCCCTTCTATCCTTCTGCCTTCCCTTCTCCCATTCCTCCTCCCACTCCTCCTCCCATCTCTCTTTCCATCCCCCTTCCCACTCCTCCTCCCTTGGCAAGCTCAGACATCTACCCCGCCCATCTTCCCCGGGAGCTCACCCCCTCCCAGAGGCTTCACCCAATACCAGGCTGCAGGTGAGGGTGGTGATGAGCAGCCACCCAAGGCTGGGATGTTCATGGGGTCACATGGAACCCACCTCCCAGTCCTCCTTCTGCAACTCCCATCCAATTGGCCACCCAGTTCTACCAATCCAGCATCTACTGAATTCCTCCCTCACCCAGCCCAGGGCAGACAGCATCACCCCTAGAATGACCCCTGCCCAGCCTCTCCCCCTGAAGTCATTTCTCCCCTCCCCCACAGGATCTTTCTAAAATGCGTCACTCCTGAGTCACTCCCCTACTGAAAACCTTTCCCGGCTCCCCACTACCTGCAGAATAAAGTCAAACTTCTCAGCCTGGCATTCCAGGCCCTCCATGACCTGGCCTAGTCAACTTTTCTGGCCTTATTGTCCCTACATCTCTCCACTTCCCCCACATACCAGTCACTCCCCCTTCTCTGTGCCTGTCCCCTTTTGCCTGCAGGAAAACACCTGCTCATCTTTCAAAACTTCATTGTGTGTTTCCTCAGCGTTATGATCCTGCTTGGGGCCCAATGGGCAGGTGTCCCACTGGGTTGTCATGGCCTGCATCGGAGTCTGGATCTGTCTCCCCGAGGTACAAGCTGTTAGACCCTCCAGACCAGAGACAAGGGCGCATTAGCTCTGGGCCTCAGCACAGGGTACTGCACACACAAGGAGATGGTAGTGGACTGTTTACTCAATTTGGTGACAAGGAGAGATGTGTCACAGCATGGGCCTCAAAAGGGATTAAATGTCCTTCAGAGAGGACTGGGGACAAACAGCAGATAGAGGGGGACAAGGCTCCTGGGATTTGCACCCCAGGTTGTTTTCCCTTTGCCCAAAGGCTTGTGTAAGAGGGATACACACACACACACATATATTCAGGGTTGGGGGTCAAAGGCAGAGGGACAGCCACATCAGCTCACACCTGACACTGGTGTCAGCCAGGCATCATTAGTGGGCCAGGACCTGACTGCCACTCCCACCCACGGGCCCACTGGCCTGGCCGGGGTCCTGTGCTGTGAGAGGACAGAGACAGACTGGAGGAGCCCAAAGTGGGGGCTGGGCAGGGGAAGGGCCTGAAACCCCCTGCCCCCAAAGGAAGGCTAGAGGCCCTGAGACTATTCAACCCAGAGGAGCAGATTCCTAACTATGACAGGCTGTGAGAGGCTGTGGGGCAGGGTGAGCAGACATGCTCCGTGGCTCCAAAGGCAAGGCCAGCACCCAGGGGCATTGGGGTGGTCGCAGAATGGCCCCATCCATCTCCTCCCTGTCCTCCCTTCCTCCCTCCTCCCAGGAAAGGCAGTCCATGGCCATCCAGAGAAAGGAGGCTCCAGTGCCCTGCCCCTTAACTTATCAACCTTTACTGATCCAAAAGAGATGAGATCAAGGGATGTAGGCAAATGAGGGGGATGGGGCCTGGAGACTTTTCCAGGCAGAGACTCCTCGTGCCCTCCAACCTGGAGTCTGCCCCACTCTGTGCAGAGGCAAAGACTCACAGCTGGGAGAGCAGGGGACTATCTCCACAGACACAGCCCAGGGCTGGAATGGACGTGGAGTCAGACGCAGGGGTGCCCCCTTTGAAAGGACTTAGAGAAACTGGGATGTGGGACTTATGGAGACACAGACAGGCATTCCTTTGCCTAGGAGGGGTTCAGAGGCCTATGCCCTGGCTGTGTGGGCACTCATGACCAAGGCAGGCCAGCAGTCAGAGGGTCTAGGAGGAGCCCTAGAAGCCACCTCCTCCAAGAAGCCTCTGTTTGCTTCAGCTTCTCGGTTCTCTCTTTCCAGTCCGCAATCTCTTCCAGCCAGTGTGTCCTTTCATTGCTCCATGCCCACGTCTCCTCATCTTCCATCTACCCCCACCCCAGCCCTCGTCATCTGGCACAAGGAGTACCCCCAATAGATCTATAAGCTCCCCCAGAAGAGGGGCTAGGCACCAGAGGTGGGGGCTCTGGTAACCAGAGAGTTCTGAAGGGCCTTTGCCTCCCGCAGTCCTGCCACCCTGCCCCCCCACATTCACAAAGCCTGCAAACAGCCCCATGGGCGAGGGTTGATAGAAAGAAATAGATTTATTCTCATGTACAAAGCGGTCAGCTCACGGGACCATATACAACAGTTGCACAGAGTCCTAGAAAAATGCATCTCTCTAAAGGCAACTCAGAATAGGTAAGGCAGGTGGCCCCCCTCCCCCCACCCCACAACACATACAGAACAAAACAAAGACGAGAGAAGCCAGCAGCCGGCTGCCCCAAGAGTCTGGCCCTTTGGGGTCTCCTGAGCCCCGGACACAGGTGGATATGGCCTTGAGGAGGACAGATGCCCTGGCAGGGTTGAGCCAGGCCCCTCTCTGGCTGTAGAAGTGGGGGAAGGGCTCAGGTCAAGGAGGGGCACAGTCTGGGGGCCACTGAGGGACTTGGATTAGCTCTCTGTGCCCTAGGGTGGCAGGAACAGGCCATGGCCTCTCCTGGAACTTGACAGAGCTATGGAACCTTTGATCTAAAACGGATCGTAGAGAATGGATTGTCTTACCCTCCCGTTTTGCTAAGAGACGGGGAGGGACTTGCCCAGGGTCACACAGCCGGGAGGAAGCACTGCTGACTAAAAGCAGGGCCTGTCTCCCAGCCCGGGGATCCTTCCTGTCCATCATTCCCATCCTGCTCTCTTCCTGAACCCCCTCTCCCCAGAGTCTGAGCTGCCCCTCTGGCAGCTTCCTCCTGGGGCCCCTGCATCTATCTCCCCAGGCCCCATACACAAATATGGCAGCAGTCCTCAGGGGCACCTTTGGCCCCACGGCTATTTGCAGTCCGGTGCCGAGCTAATGACTGTTGCTGAGCCCCTTCCCTCTGCTCACTCAGATGCCCCACCTTCTCCTTCCATGAGGACCCTGGAGACCTAGGAGGTACCCCTAGGGGAGAAGGGCACAGGTCCGGGGGGTGGGGATGGGGCACAGGAGGAACAATCAAGACTGCTTTAGAGAAGGAGTGGCTTGGGGAGGACCTGCCAAGGTGCTGTTAGAGGTGCAGAACGGGGTCTACTACACACTGGTCACCCCAGTGCCCTTGAGGACAAATTACAAAGTCTTGGTGAGACTGAAAGCCTTGCTCCCATTCTACAGATGAGAAAGCTGAGGCCCAGGAAGGGCGGAACTTGCCCAGGGTCACATGGAAAGTCCTGGTCTAGAACCCAGGACTCCTGGCTCTGGTTCCCAGTGCTCTGGTCAGGCCAGTGGTGGGTTGTAGGAGGAGGCCTGGGCAGCGAAGTGTCCCGGGAGGGGCTCACTCAGCATCAAGGCTGCAGCAGCCATTGACAGGGGCCCCAGCACCATCCAGCTTGGGCACCTCGTACTCCTCATCCAGGAAGTCCAGTGAATTGTTGCTTGGGAGGCCGCGGATGGTGAACTTGTGGGACACTTTGGTCCAGTGCTCACGGTTAGAGGCCACACGCTCATACAGCTCTGCCGCCTTAGGGAACAGGTCTTGCAGCAGCCTAGGGGCATAAGGGCAGGGTTCAGAGATCAAAAGTCAAGCCAGGGTAGCATGAAAGATTGGGACTGGCCCACAGGTAGAACTTCCACCAGAGTGTGAGGCACAGGACTGGACACTCAAGGAAAGCAAGATGTCTCTTTCCATGGGACACCAACGATGAAGAGAAGCCTCCATTTAGGGGCAAAGTAGAAGACAGCTGCGCTGAGGCAGGGAGTGGATCAGATAGACCTGGGCCCAGCCAAGCCCAGTACCTGTGCTGCTGTGATGCCCACGGGACTGCCCTGTCCACCTGGCCCTGCCCCACCCCACCTCTCTGTACAGGGTCTTGGCAGCTCACTCACTTGTAAATGGGCATCGCGATGTGCTCCATGAAGCTGATCTGCAGCTCAGGGATGTAGGCCTTCTCCCGGTCCATCATCTCCATTGGCCTGTTGCCCATGGCCTTCTCCTGCAAGCACAAGGTCACCAGCCATCAGGCCTGGCACTCTTGTTTCTTCCATCAGGTACCAAGGTCAGGATAACTCAGCTCCTCCCAGGCCAAGAAACCTCCCCCAGGCTGGACACCATAAGGTCCCTCCACACATACCAAATCTCCCTGGGAGAAGAACTCTTTGTAGATCAGCTCCTGAAAGGTCAATACTCTCATCACATCCTGAGTGGGATCCATCCACCCAACCTCCACCGGTAGCCCATTCCCAAGACGACAAACTGAGGCTCAATGACTCAGGGACCTGAGCTGTGTCCCTTGGTCCCACGCCACGGCCTGCCCTCATCACCCCTGGTGCGGCAATGAGATAGCCCCAGATGATGGGGAGGGATGGCTGTGCCCTTGTCTGAGTCTTCCCTCTGTAGCCCTGAGTTGTTCTGAGTTTTGTCTCACAGAGAGGGTGTTCAGGCTGAAGGGGCCGTTCAGTGCTGGGCACAGTGTACAGTCTGTGCCGTCCCCCAGGAGGGGCAGCACTTACTGCAATCTTTCTTGTGGTCTTCCAGCCCTTGGTCTGGTCAGAGAGGTCACAGGAGGTCATAAGGAGGCAGAGGAGAAGGCTGTGGTGCTGTTTGTTGGTTCGGTCATAGCCCACTGTTGGGGGAAGGATGGGGTCAAAGAGAGGGGTCCAGCCTCCTTCACCCCTCTCTCTGAGGACAAGCACCCCAGGGTCCACCCCAAAATGGTCCAGGGAATTCGGCACCCTTGATGGGAGCCAAGTGGATGGTGCTGGGTCTGCCCGGTGGGGCCTGCAGCCAAGGGGGTTGATTCTGGGGGCAAATCCCATCCCTGGAGTCCCTCCCCAGCCCTGAGGTGCAGGGGTAAAAGCAGGTACCTTCGGCCATCTTCTGGAGGTCCTTGAAGATACGGAGGTGGTGTGCCAAGTCCGTGGCCAAGATGATGTCCCTCATCAGGTCCAGCATGCGCTGATAGTCCTGGGTCAGGGCAGGTGGGGACAGGGGTGTCATGGCCTGCCCAACCACCCCACCCACTCACCGCCCCTGAGGAGCCTCCATTCCTTAGCTCTTCCTCCTGTCTCCAGCTAGCTCCCAGCTCCCACCCTCTCATCCCCACCCGCCGCCCCATCACCTTCCGGGAGAAGTGGTCGAAGATGTTGCAACCGTGGGTGTTGAGGATGGCAATGGCCTGAGCGAAGTGATGCCTCTGGGGGAAAAGGAGTGATGGGGGCCAGGCAGGGAAGGGGGAACTGCCCCCTGAACTGAGCCCCCAAGGTCAGCAGAGCGGCAGAATCAGGGAGCTCAGAGACCCACTCCCCTTTCTGAGCGATACCTCGACCTTTTTTATGAACCTAGGCAAGTTGGGGCCCACTCTGAGCCTCAGATTCCACAGCTGTCACACAGAGAGGCTGACAAGGTAAGCTCTGAGGGCCTCTTAAGCTGGAAAAATTCTGAAATGATCCCTTGGAGTCCTAGACACTAATTCATGCAGCAAACATTTGTTTGCTGACAAAGGCAGTGATGAGAGGGCAAAGCCCTTGTCTCCTGACGCTAAAGGGCTGTCACTCGGAGGAAAAGCAGGCTTATCTGAGCACCCAGAGGGCAGAGCAGGGCTGCACCCGGCTTCCTGGGAGAGCGAGCATACACTTCGTTGTGGGGGGTGCAGGCAAGGGCAGCCTCTGGAGCGGTGCTGTGGGAGGCAGCATGGGCGAGGTGACCTTGGAGGGCCAGAGTTAGAAATGTGGCTCCTGCTCTGTGCCAAGCACAGTGCCAAGGGCAGGGATCTCAGAGACGTCTGGGACCTCATCCCTGCTCTACAGAGTCCCTACCTGGGGGTGGCAGATCCCAAGCAAACAATCTAAGGCAAAGCTGGGTGTGATCAGAGTGTACCCCATCCCAGGCTTGGCAGTACGGGGTTGCACAGGGTGTTTTCAGAAGCCAGAAGGGAATGTGACAAATACAGGTCCTCTCTTCTCAAGGTGGGGCTCAGGCAGAACCTGCAGCCTGACTCACACCCTCTTCCACACC